ATTTGAAAATTGGAAATTAGAGGGCATGGAGGACGGAGGCCGGGTGACCGAGGCTCTCCCCACGCTTTATTTGGAGCTTGAGTTCAAAACGTAATTTTAAACAAAACAAAACTCTCTTTATATATTTATTTTATATTTGGTAAAACATATTTGAAACTATTTATAAATCCATCTAAACAAGTCTTAAAAAGACAAAAAGAAAAATGAAGCAGTAAAAAACGAATATACACACATATACACACACAAGTCATTTTATTTTCAGCCGAAAAAAAATATAAGTCATTTTATTTTGGGAAAATCTCTTAGAAAAACAACTAAATTGTCCAAATTTCGATGTGGTTGCTAAATTTAAGAAATAATTGCTCAAGGAATATGAGCTAAATTAGAATTTAGAAATTTTATCAATTTACCTCAATACCCCTAAATTATTGGGGAAAAAAATTGAAAACTGTTTGTTCTATCAGGAATACGAACTTAGAAATTTAAAACAAAATCAGTGAAAAGTCGACTAGAGGTAAAAATGAGGATAGTAAAATCATTTTACCCATTATTATGAAATCTTACTTTATCTAAAGCACCCATCAGCAATTTGTTGAATTTGAAGCCTTGATAACAGATGTGCAGGAGCTATTTGGAATAAGGAGGATGGATAGTTAATTGGCTTCCGATGCAAACTCACCAAGATTCCATCGGTTGTAACATATATGATGGCCTAAATCTCTGCTGTGCTAAAGGTTGTAGATAGGATTTTTCATTTTATTTTATATAGGATTTTTGCCTTTATATTACTTTATTTTTTTGCCAAAACCATTTTTTCATCATCAACCAAAAAGTCGTTTTAGTTTGATGTTAAGCTGGAGATTAGATTTAATTTATTGTCACCTTTTTGTTATTACATACTAATTAAATAAATAAAATTGAAAATGGACAAACTATATTTTAAAAATAAAACATTTAATCAATGTGAGGGAGGTAAGAGTATTTTACTCAAAAATTTTACAATAAATATAATTTACAAAATTAAAAATCCCTTTAAAAGTCACATGAAATAAGAAAATCCCAAATCAAGCTGATAAATTTCACAAATCCCTAATTGGCCTATGGACTTAATTTGGGATTTGTAATTTAGACATTTTACCATATTGCTCCATATAATTTTTTTTTTTTAGACACCTCTCTCCATTTTGTTTCAAAAGCACCTCTACTGCTATTAATAGTCAATTTCCACTCTGCTAGTGGCCGATGCTCCGGCAATAGATAATTATTAGAGCTTTTGTGACAACTTTATTGCAAAACTTTTGTTGTAAATAACTCATGAGAACTTATGAATTGTTAAATAATACTAGTATTTATTAATTTATAAATTTACCTTGTGATTAACAATAAAGTTTATTAAAGAATTGCAAAAGTTTTGTTATAAATGGCTAATATAAATTTGTCAATTGCTAAATTGAACTTCTTAATTCCTAATATTGTCTTGTGATTGAATAATAACAATAAATGTTCACTAAAGAGTGCAAATTTGTTGCCAAAATTTTGCTACAAATAATTAATGAGAACTTGTGGATTGCTAAATTGCACATATTAATTCAACTCAGAAGACAAATTTAGAAATGAAGTGAATGAAAAACCAACAAGAAGCTATTGGTCCAATGCTTGAACTCTCAATGACAACATGATTAAATGAGTTAGAGTATAGATCATGCTCTATCAAGAAGAGAATGTCACCCATGGTTATCCATAGCACATGCCTCTATTATACTAAATGCGGGCACTTATCTTAGTGAGAATTTAGTGTCTACTAGTATTTTGAATAAAATTATCTTCAAAAAGAGGATATATGTGCTTAGAACTTAAAGGTAAGTCCAAATCAAATGAAAGAAGAGGCCTAAGCTTAAAGCTCAATATGCCTTTGAAAGGAATAAGAAGAATTGGCAAACGTTACAAGCAACATTATGAATATTGTCCCATCTTATGACAAAGCCTAAAGACATGGTCTACCTAATCAGGACTTCATTCGGTACTTATCACAATAATAAGCATTGTTTGTTTATTATTGTAATACAATCTAAATCATTAAAATTCCGAAATGAAAGATTTCGATTTAAAATTTTTAATATGCAATTTTTAATGATAAATCTATTTTTTAAAGGAAATGTTAGTTAATAGATTATTTTTATTTTGAATTACGTATCTATTAAAGTAAAAGGTTAATTAAAATACATAAAAAAATTAAATTAAATCTGGACCATCTAAAATCAATATAAATAGTTCAAATTTAGATGAACACTCTAATGAATACACTCCCCTATCTAACCACAATAACGATAGGAACAACCGTGCTATACTTGATGAAGAAGGAAAGCATCGACCTTTTCCCAATTTTGAAGCTAAACCTGCGGCAAATATAACAAGTAGAATCCTAGAAGAGATACCTTAAGGCTCCGTTTGATATGAGGAAAATGAAGGGAAAAAAAAAAGAGGGAAGGAAAAACTTTAATGAGTTTGATTTAAAAAATTAATAAAGTAGCATTAAAAGTTTTTAATTAATTTTTATTATTATTTTGTTCTATATTTTTTTTATTAAAATTTTATAATCTCACTTTTTAAATTTTTCAAATCGAGTTTGTGAAAATTTTTTCATTTTCCCTTCCCTCCATTTCCTTCGTGCCAAACATAGGATAAGTCCGCCTCTAGGATAAGTCCGCCTCGCTTACTTAAACATGAGTAATCATAGCCCAAATATTCACCTAGCAATGGTTCAAGACATTGACCAATGGACGAAGAACCATAATTAAGAGAAAGACCTTCAATCCTAATTCAAACATGAATAGAGCAGAAGTGGACCTGTGTAGTAGCCATATTAGGCTCCCATTCATAAACTCCAACCATAAAACCTCGTAGTCAAGACTCTTGGTTGAGAATTAAAAAACTTAACACAAGCGTCACTGGAAAAGAGCACGAGCCAATTGAGATGATTTTGAATAGTTGTGACCCAACACGTAAACACCAACAACAAATGTTAACAAGAGATTGCAATTGTGCAGCATAAGAAATCTGAGCAAAAAGATACTCCCTCTTGTAGATAATACTACCTCCGGTCCTTAATATAAGACCTCGTTTGATTTTTATTTTGGTCCTAAATATAACCCCAATCCACTTTGTCTCTTATATTTATATATTTTTTTTTCAAGGTAGTCCTTCTAACAATAGTAATTCTAGTCAATATACTTGATTAGTAAGAATATTTTAGAAAAGATAACACCTATTTATTACAAATAACTAACTTAACTTCTTTTCTTAATCTCCTCAAATTAGTCAACTAGCTCTTATAATTAGGACATGAGATAATATAATATAAGAAATTGGTTAACTTTTCTCATATACTAAGAAATGAAAGTTTAACCATTAAATGTCTCTCAAAATTTTATCCTTAAAAATGATAAGATTGCATTTAATGTTCCACTTTTATGATCTCTCATCTCTCTCCTATATCTAATAGGGATAAACATTAAAAAAAAAAAATCATTTAACTAACTTAACAAGGTTTTATAGTTTGAATCACAATTTTCTTCTAACTTCAGTCTTTGTGAAAATTGAGGTGTCTAGTGCTGGATGGCGAGAGATGCATTTTGATTGTTAAAAAAAAAAAAACAGAGAGAGACAACCTTGTGAAACCAACATAGGGCCAAGGAAACTAACACACCAACAACAACTGATGCACAAAACACGTGAAACAGACGAAAATTGGTTCACTAAGAACCGCAGAATAGGTAAGAAACCATAAAAGGTGAAAGTTGATGACTGCCTTTGATAAAGAATATTGCTCTCCAGCTTCTTAATCTATCCAAATTAATTAACATTTACTACCTCTGGTCCTAAGGCTCGCTTGGCTCTTGAGGCTTGTGATCGAGAATTAGCAGATAAAGCGAGGGAAGCAGCAGAACTGAAGATGGACAGGCGAAAAAAACAGAAATTACAGATAGAAAAACTGGAGAGAATCATGAGGCTTAAAACTGTAGAGGCTGATATGTTCCAGCTGAAGGCTAATGAAGCTAAACGAGAGGCTGAGAGGCTCCAGAGAATTGCTCTGGCCAAATCAGAGGAAGAATATACTCGCAACTACTATCTATGATCTTTAATATAAGAACTAGTTGACTAATTTAAATAGATTAAAGAAATTGGTTAAGTTAGTTATTTGTAATAAAGAGGTGTTGTCTTCTCTAAAATACCCTTACTAATCATGTGTCATTTGATGAAACATTTAACATGTGCAACTACTACAAAGACTATCTTAGGAAAAATGGATAAATATGAAAGACAAATTGAATTGAGGTCTTATATTTATAACCAAATTGAAAGTCAAACTAGCTCTTATATTTAAGACTAGAGGTAATCCTTGAAACAACCATTAAGTGAGGCTGAAGCTGAGAAGCAATACCTCTGTGAGAAGATCAAATTGCAGGAGCGTTCTTGTGCTTCACAAAGTACTAGTGGTGGTGCCAGTGACCCATCTCAGATGCTGATGTATTCTAAAATCCGTGATCTGCTCTATAGTGTTCCTACCAAGGCAGAGAGTCAGCCTAATGAGCGTCTGAACAAATCCATGGGTATTAGTGCTGTGTATGTTTTAATCTTTTACCATATTAAAGGAATATCTTCTATTGGACCATTAATCAAGAGTCAATCAAATCCCATTGGATTTTTAAGACAGTTTTATCAGCCTTTATATAGGAAAGAGATCTTATTAAAAGCTTAAAGCAGTTTGAAGCTAGGCTTGTTCTTCTGTTCTGTACAATAAGTCTGCTTTTGTAAAGACCATCTGTGTGAGTGCTATAATTTTGACATTGTGGTAAACAATAGCGAAGTTTTATTCCATATATATCTGAGTTGTATCACTGGCCTCAAGGCCAGATACATCATAGCTGCAGACAAAGTAGGACTGATATTTTATCATCAATGACACTAACATTACACCCAAGGAGTAACTATTCTTTTGCTTATTTGGAAGGTGGGATGCTCTTGTGTTTGACAGAGGAGGTTGGTTTTGGTATGTTACTTTTCTTTGCAGAATCCTTAAAACCCAAAGCTTGGTGATTTGGAATTATGTGGCCAAATTCTAAAGCAGCACTGATTCCATGGCACCTTATGGAAGAGCTGATGCACACATTGGGTGTGATAATCCTTGCATTGTTCAGAAACATTCCTGATCTCCTGCTGTTGGTTATGCTGATCATCCTGTTTGGAACGCTAGAAGGGACCAGAGAGCCATTTGGAAAACGTAGCAATTGATTGATGACTAATGGGGTTGGAATAGAATGGCTGAGTATGAAATCTTGGAGATGGTCTGGAGTAATTGAGAATTGGGATAATTCTTCATCATTTGGCATGAGAAACGTTAGATCAGAGGTTTGCAGGGAGTTTGGCATGCTGTTAAGGATTTTCAAGAGGATTACAAATCCATGGTAAGACCTTGCTCTCATGTCAGCCATGGCTGCCTGCAGATCAGTTTGGTTGATTCCACTTGTGGACTGAGATTGGCCGAATGTGATGAGTGGAAGGAGGAAGACGAACCAGAGAGCAGCCATTGGAGAAAATCTCAAGCCTTGCTTGAATAGTGAATGTTTATGTGTAGTGGAATGGGATAGCGCTTGGTATTTTATATGCAACGTTTTATTTTAGTAACTGGCAATTCACACCTATGGCACCTCATTTCTTTGCTCTTGCAGGTTAGTTGATTGGCAGTTTATGCATGATGAGAGGTGGCACAAACCAATAGTGAAATTTAACTTAGATGCATTAAAGGGCCATAAAAAACACAAAACGAAGGTTTATTCTTTTAAGGTTAAGGTGCATCCGACACCCGAAGTATTTTTTTGAGTACATTCAGTATTACAAGGTATTTGTGATGCATTTAACATCTTGAAGTATTTTTCAAATGCATTCAGCATTCTGAATTTTTTTTTTTTTGCCTTAGTGCTGGATACACTAAAAAATATTTGAGTGCGTTAAAAATACTTTGAGGTGTTAGAAATACAAAAAATATATTTTAAAATGCTGAATACACCACAAAATACTTTAAGGTGTTAGATGCAATCGAGAAAAGAAAATAATTCAAGGTGCATCCTTCTTTTAATTTCTTTTCACCTATTAAAAACTCATTTTAAAATATTTTTATTTACGTAGTAGTAGTTGGTGATGCGAAGGCTTCCTTTTAGCAAAATTCCCATAGGCAAGAAGGATCCTATATTGCCATGGAAGGAAGCAGCAGAAACTTCAGAGCAACAAAGGCAAAAAAACGAAGCAAAACAGAAGGGAAAGCACAAAGCAGAAAATGACGACAGCAATGATAAAGAAAGGACACAGCAAATTAACCAATGAGAAGGATGAAGTTGAATCACAATAGTAATTAGTCTTCTTAATTACTACCTCTAATCCTTGATATAAGAGCTGGTTATTGAGTAAATTAAGAAAATTAGTTAAGTTAGTTATTTATAATAAATAGATGTTATTTTTTTCTAAAATATCCTTATTAATCAAGTGTATTAGTTAAAACTATCATTACTACAAGGACTATCTTAGGAATAAATAAATAAACATGAGAGACAAAATAAATTGTCGTCTTATATTTAAGACCAAAATAAAAATCAAAGTAATTTTTATATTAAGGACCAGAAGTAGTAGAAGTATTGATCCTCACTCACATGTTAGGCTCCACCTTCATCATATCAATTCTATAGTTAGCAACATTGATTAAAATTCAAATAAATATACTAGATATAGCTCATCAAATAAAAAATGTTATTGAAAAAAAGTACCATTTATATTCAAGTACTCCTTCCGATCCTAAATACCAGGGTTGGAATTTACAAATATTATTGAAAAAAATTAAATTTATATTTATAATAAATATGTCCTTTCTCTAAAATGCCTCTTTTGATCACTACCCCCAATGGAAGAAAATTTCCTTTCATATATGAAATCAACAGTAATAGTTTGGAAAAAATTATAAATTTGGAAAATAAATGGATTAACATATTATGAAGAAAGCAAATGTCCCTACTAATTCTGATATTTAAGACTGGACGGAGTAGTATAGGAGATTAAAACATAGCATATTAAATAAAATTTAAAATTGATATTAGAAGACTACATGCCTATCATTTGATACCATAAGCATAAAGGAAATACGGGTGAAAAACTTTGGTACATAAGGGTAAAAAATTGGAAGAATTACAATCAAGCCCAAAGAAAAAAAATATAATTATTAAAAAACCTTAATAAAAATTTAAGCAGTCTGTATGACAAGTTCAGAGTAAAAAAAATGATGACTTCTGAAACTTGTTTTGTAATTTTTTTTTTTTTAAGGATCTGATTGTAATTCTCTCTGAAAAATTTTCCAATTGCATGATTTGTTTCTAAGAGGGCGTCGTCCGTGCCAGATGGGTAAGGTTTTCGGCCTATCTTGGTCCTGGGCTTTTTGCAAAGCCCAATTGTTGGTTGAATAATGTTTTTTCTCCCCCAACTTTTTATAAAAAGTTTTGATAAAAATATTATAAAATAACTCATAAAAATAGGGTGTCCGTGCTAGTTTGGTGCCCGTGTTTTACGTAGCACGGGTCAGAAAATATGAATAAATAAGAAGAAATTATTTATGTTGTATTTAATATCAGTAAAAAGCATCAATCTTGTCTTTTCCAAATATATTTTGAGTTGAATATAAATTATCTAAGGGGTCTAGGTATCAAAGTTCTAATTGGAAGGGTATCGCATATTCAATGTTCAGGAGACAGTTGTTCAACCATATTTTAAATAGAATATCTCAAGTTTTTTTTTTTTTTAATACTACCATTAGCCAGCATAAATTAAGAATTTGGTATTAAATATAGGAGTTAGTTAGGGAGATGGTTTTGGTTGTAAAACATTAATTTATTTTATCTCCCATAGTTATTATTTTTTAATCTAATTTATAAGTTAACATATAATCAAAAGGGTATTTTAGGAAGATCATATTAAACTTATTAAAATTAACTAATTTATTTAGCTTTCTTAATTTATCCAGATTAATTAAGTAATTCTCATGTTAAGAATTAAAGGAATATTTATCTTGAATCTCTTGATGATATCTACATGTGGGATATCATAGAAAATGATATCAACTTCAAAAAAGGAAGGCCCCAAGATCACTGAGAAAAAAGTTGTGTCACATCTCAATTTTAGAGCAATGCATAGCACTAAAAGACTCTGAGAATATTAAACATCATTGTTCCAGTACCAAAGAGATCTGGGACACTTTAGAATAAACCTATGGCTCTAGTTTTTCTATGGACAGAAAAATTTGATAGAAGAAGGACGATCAGAAAATTTACTTGGAATAGAAAAGTGTGATTCCTAAATGGTGAAAAAGAGCTAGAATTAGAAGCAATTCAAAAGGAAAAACTATAAATGAAGAGTACGCTCTTGATTATACCATAAACGGAGAAAATCTCTAAGCGGGTGTTTGGATAGAAACGAAACCATGGTTTTAAAAGTGATTTTACCACATACGAAGTAAATATGTAGAGGAGTTTGTCTTGATTTGCGAAAAAGTACTTCCGAGAAGTATTTTTAAAGCTGCCCAAACACCTCTTAAATTAAAGAACTCAATCATCTTTAAACGCAACTCATTCATTCGCGCTTAAGGGAAAAAAAGTGAACAAAAAATTATTATCATTGCCTTTATCATGTTTGTAAAGAAAAGCTCTATATTGATGAATAATTTAGAGAACTTGGGATGAAAATCTCAAATTCAAAAGTTTTCAGAAAGGGATGTTGGCCAAAACAAAGTTTACAAAAAAAGAGAGGCTGAAGATCTAATTGAAAGTATTGGATTTGACATGAGCAAAGAAGAAAGAGAGCTTAGTATTGATTTACAAGAAGCCAACTCATAATGGATGGCAGATTGTACTTCTAACAAGTCTAATTTGATTTTTAATTTGGTTTTAAATATAAGATTCCAATCCACTTTGTCTCTTATATTTATTTATTTTTAAGTTAGTCCTTATAGTAATTACACATGTTGAATATTTCATTAAATGTTAAAACTAATACACTTGATTAGTAAGAGTATTTTAGGAAAGGTAATACTTATTTATCACAAATACCTAACCTAACAAACTTTCTTAATCTACTCAAATTAGTCAATTAGTTCTTATGTTAAACACTGGAGGTAGTATATGAAATAAAATGGAGAGAATTTGACAAGATAGTGTGGTCTACACTACCATGTCAGCCAATGATCATGGATCCTTTCACTTCTTATGGTAAACAAAAGTTCTATTATTTCTATTAATTTGAACTAAAATTTTAGGATGATTACTCTTTTAGGGTTTAAGGTTTAGGATTATCAAACTAAAAATTTTTCATGGCTTTTTCCTACCCTTTTGAACGGTATACATAAATCAGCCATTAACATGAGGTGATCAGACCTATCAAGAATATAATACTATGTTAGACAAAGGTCTCTTTATATAAATATGAGGTAGTACTTTAGCTATTTTATTTAGAGAAAAATACATACTAGTTCTGATGTTTAATGTAAGAATCAATTAAATATTCAATTTGTTACTAAATATAAAATTTTAATTTACTTTGTTTTCAATATTTATTCATTTCGTTCATGAATATTCCCTATGATAATTACATATGTTAAGGAGCCTTCATCAAAAGTTAATTCCAATACATATGATTAATAAGGGTGTTTTAGGAAAGACAACGTCCATTTATTATAAATAACTAACTTAATTACTTTTCTTAATATTTATAAATTAGTTATTTAATTCTTATATTAAGGATAGAATATAGTACATAAAAACTAAATTCAGAAGCTAATTATTCCTAAAGACCAGATTCAAGTACATTTAACACTCACTAGAAAAATTTACAAAAATGGCCATATAAGCGTTTGACACTCAACGTTCTTAGAAACAAATCGTTTATACAAATTTAATCCTTAGGAATAATTTTCCCTTTCGTTTATTCGATTTAGATAGCCGGATACCTAAAAGTGAATATTTACAAGATCATCCCTTATCGTGGCAAAAATCCCCTAGCTATTGTCATTATCGTTGAGATTGTAGTTTAATTTTTAATAATGGGCTTCTAAAGATAAAACTCCCCCATGATATTGTGATCTTACTTTTAATATTACAATAAACAAACTTCATTGTTTATAAAACATAAATAGGAACGAAAGCTTTTGTCATGTATTCCCATCAATATGAAAATTTTAGGGATTAATATGATTATTAATTCTTAAAATTTGAATTTTAGTCTGCTTTAAGGTTTTTGGTCTTCTAATAATGTTTTTAAATCGTGAAATAAGGTTTGAAGAAACAAGATCATTTGCTTCAAATTTTAAGAACAAAAAATAGAATGAGATTAAATTTCAGAGACTAAAACTCAAATTTTAAAAAGAAACGAGATATAATTAGTCTAAGAAAATTTAGTGTAATTTATTTGAAATATTATTTTAAGAAAATGAAAAAGTTTGACTAGGTATTTAATAACTGTGGAACCTTTGTAAGAACTTGTGCATTATTTTAAAATAAAA